TAGTAATGTTACATTGTTTTTTTTTTTGTTTTTTTTTAAATCTTTTTAATTATTTATCCTTGTCAGCAGAGGGGTATTGCTCAAAAGTAGAATTAAGAAAGCCAGGATAACATTAAAGGCACGGCTTGACCTAGCTTAATCAGCGCATCCTGGCTTAGTCCGTTGCACGTTTGCCGAGCCAGGATAAGAACATGAAGCTATGTCAAGCCAGGTGTAGATAGTTGGGATAAGTGCACGTTCACGGCATTCTTAAACAGACCACGGGATCGATCAAAGAATGATGCAAAAATTGATAAAACCTGTGCGGCATACTTCTCACCAACTGAGCGACAGCTTCTAATGTAAACATATGAAGAGGTGAAACATATAATATGTAAAAAGGGAAATACGGCTGCTATAATAAAACAAAGAGAAAAAGCCTGGCAGACAATAGCGGGCCGATTGAATGCGTAAGTAGTCCAAATAGCCAGTGCTCCACTGTAACATCATAATTACAATTCAAGGAGTTACTCGTCATTTCCACATTAAGAGTTGTACACTTTGCCTTAAATGTGACCAGTGGACATGCATGTTACTCAGGAAATTTATCATGAAGATTAATTGCAAACACTTGCACTATGCACATCTATTTTATCTATTTATTTTATTTTATCTGTCTATTTAATCTATCTCATCTATTTACTTTTATCTATTTTTATTTAGGGTTTTTTTTTTCTTATTGATTTTATCTAATCTATAATCTGATAATTTGATCTATTTTTTATCTATCTAATCGTTTATCTATTCTATCTCTCTTATCTGTCTATCCTTCTTAAAGCTGCAGTCCGTAATTTTTTTGGGTTAAAAATGATCCGAAATCAATATTTGAGCAAGTACATAACCAGCCAGTGTTCAAAACTATCGTCTTACTTTAGCCCGATTCACAACGGTTATCTTATAATAATGTTTTCTAATTTGAGTGGTACGGGAAGGTTTCGCGGGAAATTCGAGCATGGCACTGCATCATTACGTCACTTCTGTAAACATAAAGAAGTTGTCCCGGCTACTAGACTATCGCATGTGAGGATCCTGGAGGTGAAGGATCGTTTATAGCCTTTTCTCACAGCAACTGGAATAATTAAATGTATCATTTTGATGGCAGATTGTAATCCATAGAGGATTATGTGTTTATGAAACACGTGAATGAAATTAAATTATATTCCAGTTATAAATGTGCTTCTGATTACGGATAGCCTGGGATTACAAAGATTTGTATTTTAAAGAAAACCAGTTTGAAAGGAGCATAATTGGCTTTTTGGGTTAAAAGAATTTCTTAATATGAAATTCGAAGAGTATGACAATTAGATTAGACTGTGCAGAAATTGAAATCTACACACTATA